GCATTCACAAAAGGCTGAATGGACTGAGGTGTTTTTTTTTCAGAGCCTGATGGGGGTCTGTAAAATGATAAAGGGGTTTGATGGGGCAGAAATGCAAGAGATGCTGGTATAAAACGTGAATCTACAGACCTTGTCCTATGGAAGGAAATCAAATAACTCCAATTGGGAATTCAGGAGAAACCCAGAGAGTGGGGAGAATGTGAAATCTGTCACCATTGCAAGTGACTGATGCCTATGACACAGATATATTTAAAGGTAACCTGGATAAACTCACAGAGGAGAAATGAATTGAAGGATATACTGGGAGAATGATATTAACAGGACAAGGGGAGGCTCATGTGAAACATAAAACACCAGTATGGAACAGTTGGGATTGAATGGTCTATTGCTGTGGTGCTGAAAATTCTACATAATCCTCTGCTACAGCAGATAAAGTGACCCATATCTAGCTGACATCAGTGACAATCTAAATTTGCTGCTAAGCAGAATGACTCCTCCTTCAGGAACTGCAGAGTTTGGGAACTCGGCAAAGTTAGAAGTTGCTAAACATAACACTGTTTTTGGGAAAAGTGTAACTGTGCTCCATGCTGTTGTTTTCTGAATTCCCTTTGAAACTACCTCACACTATCGGGTTGTAGCAGGGAACCGTGTCACCTCAATCGTTCTTGGGAGTAAGATGTTGGTAATTCAATCAGGGGATTCAGATGACTTCACAAGCTATGAGAGTGCTTCTGAAGGAGGCCTTTAAAGTCACTTGAAGCCCAGGATTGAATTGCAAACCTAATTGCTTCCTTCCGAGCAGGCACATCTTCCTCTAGGATATAAAACAACTTATGAAAACAATGCTAATCATAACAAGCAGCTCCTTGGGGAGATTACTATTAAATCTCAGTAACATTTGGCTGCTTCAATATCAAGATGACTGTCTCCAGTTGAGGGGAACCGGATTGTAATCCAGGACTTTCACTTCTTTGCCATAAGTCTGACTGTAAACCACTTTGATGGAATGACCACTGTTGCCCACAGAGAGTGTTTGAAGCTCCCAGATGGAGCAGGACTGGCTTTTTATCTGGTGTTTGACATCCATGGGAGATAATTGAGCACAGTTAGTCTTGAATTGGCAGTGACGTTCAGGTAGAGAGGAACAACCGTTAGCTTGGGATATCGAAGGAGATGACGCATTGATACAGAATGACTGATCTGAATTTGGGATCAGGGTAAAGTGAGCTTTACCTTCCATTGTATCTCAGCCAGGAATGCTTATGGGTCACAGGGAAGGAAACTAACCCTATATATAAACCACGCCTGAACTGGAACTGTCCTCAACTTGCGCCTGCCCTAGGGGTGTTTGATGGGGCCATTATAGAGGGAACTTTACTTTGCATTAAACCCTCTGCTCTACCTAGATACTCAAAGACTGTGATGGGACAGGCTCATGGGAGCCTTATTCTGTAGATAGCCTGGAAACAACTGATAACATGGTGTAGAAGAGGCTTTACTCTATATCTAACCCTATGATGTCCGTGTCCTGGGAGTATTTGATGGGGACAGTTTAGAGGAAGCTTTACTCTGTATCTAACCTTGTGCTGTCCCTGTCCTGGGAGTGATTGATGGGTGACAGTGTAGAGGAAGCTTTACTCTGTATCTAACTCCATGTTGTCCCTGTCCTGGGAGTGTTGGTGCTAAGGCTGGTGTTAATGTTTGAAAGTTGCACTGTTCCTATCTGATGGAAGAAAGGAATGAACAATCTGAGGAATTTCTGAACAACCAAAGATAAAGAATTACCAAGAACAAATAAAGAGATATCTTATACCCTGCACATGCAAATTAAAATGGTTGTCAATGTATCTAGACTGTCTGCTGAGCTGACAATTATGGAGTTGCTTTCTGGTTAACCTGTGAATTGTAAAATTATTGGTGGTTATCTCAGTCAGTGAATATCTGACTAAAATCATATTTGAAACTTTTATGACAAAATGAATTGTACTACCTCTTCACCTCAGTTTCCTCCTTTTTCTCACTCCTTGAAACCGGCTGCTTTTGACAATCTGTCCTAATGTTTATGTAGCACATGGCAAAATTTCACTTGACAATTTCTGCAAAGTACTTTAGCACATTTAACTATATCAAAGGTGCTATAGAGATGCAGCCTGTTATTGTTGTTATCTCAATGCATTTGAACATTTTCCAGGATCCATCCTCTTCCATGACTAAAAACAATTTGCATTGCAGCTTTTCACGATTTTTCTGTTGGACTCGCTACAAACAACTTAGCAAACAGCAATGAAATTAAATTCTTCCCTGGGTGTCTAAAAAAGTCTGTTTTATTTGAAGCAAGGCAAAGTTCTTTCCCTCGTGAAAGGAGCAGAGTGAAAATATTTGAGATAACTCAGTAACAACTGGACACTATTTCAGTTTTTCTTGATGATCCTCTGAAGTGGGCAATCACACATGCAATGTCACATGTGGCCCTTGAATTCTAGGTACCTAGATTAGTTTGAATCTGACCCCCATGCAGTTAACTGGGTCATAGGTTCTGTTGAGTTGTATATCATTTCTTAGTTAAAAAATCATTCTTGGGAAGGAGGTATTATTTCATATTTCCCATCTCTAGTTACCACCAGAGTAATTTGCTAGGCCACTTCATTCACCATGCTGATGTGAGAATGGAATCACATATTGTGCCAGATTCGATAAAGTTGGACAATTTAACTTCTCAAAAGATCATTAATGAATCAGTTAGGTGCTTATGATAATCTGACAGCTTCATGGGGCCACTGTTACTGATCCCAACTTTCTAGATCCAAATACTTTTAAAATATCAAATTCTCAATCCCCCCCCACTTTCCCCATTCTCAGTCTTTTTCAGATATATCAGCTGCTTGATTAGTGAATAAAAACCAAATCTGTTTTCAATGTGGTGCAGGGGTCAGAATTTAACTCTAGTGGTATTTCTTTTATAACAGTGGTAACTGAGCTGTTGGAAACACAAACAGAAGGTGCTGGAGAAACTCAGCAGGTCTGGCAGCACCTGTGGAGAGAGAAACAGAGTTAACATTTTGAATCTGGTATGAATTCTTCAGAAGGCAATTATTGGAAAATTGGTTCACAATGGTTTGAACAGGAACATTTTGAATAGAATTTGCACCAAAGACGCTTCCTGATCTGCAGAAACATCTTCCCAACTGTACACCTCCTGTCTATCAACATTTACTTCTATTCCTTTCTCTCTCTGTTTAAGGATAAAGGAGCAGAAGTAGGCCATTCAGCCCCTCGAGCTTGCACTTGGCATTCAACACCATTTTCCCTGAATGTTACTTCCTTCAATCATTCTTGAGATAATAAATTCCACATTTTATCCTTTCTGGTTAGTTTCTCCTGAATTCCCTATTGGATTTAGTAATTATAGAGTCATAGAGGTGTACAGTGTGGAAACAAATCCTTTAGTCCAACCTGTCGATGCCAACCAGATACTCGACATTAATCTAGTCCCACTTGCCAGAATTTGACCCGTATCTCTCTAAACCCTTTCTATTCATATACCCATCCAGATGCCTGTTAAATGTTGTAATTGTACCAGCCTCTACCACTTCTTCTAGCAGCTCCTTCCATTCATGTACCACCCTCTGCGTGAAAAAGTTGTGCCTTAGATCCCTTTTAAATCTTTCCCCTCTCACCTTAAACCTATGCTCTCTAGCTTTGGATTCCCCTACTCTGGGGAAAATACCTTGGCCATTCACCCTATCCATGCCACTCATGATTTTATAAACCTCTATAAGATCACCCTTCAGCCTCCAACACTCCAGGGAAAATAGACCCCCAGTCTATTCAGCCTCTCCCTCTAGCTCAAACCCTCCAACCGTGGCAACATCATTGTAAATCTTATCTAGTTATCCTATGTTGGTGCATCCAGCTCTTCTCTGTACCTCACCCCCTACCAGTTTTTGGTGGATTCTTTTTTTGAGTGGGTAGATGAGTGCACGGAACTGGACACATTGTGTTGTAACTTATTTTGAACAATCCCTTCCACATGCTGATCTGTGCTTCTCTTTGCCCGGAACCATGCGATTTTTTTTCCTCCTTTTTGTGTGTGTGTGTGTATGAGCGGTCTAATTGCGATGTGAGGGCTGCATTAGGAGCTGTGGGCACGTACAGTTAGAGTGACGAGGAACGCTAGGGAGGAAGAGTAACGCCTCTTTTGTGCTTTGGAGACTGGGAGCTGTTCTTTTCAGTTACCGAGAGGAATCGAGGAAGGGAGAGAGAGAGAGAGATAGGGAGAGAGAGAGAAAGAACGGGGACAAGAAGAAGGTGAGGAGGAAGAAAGAAAATCAGGAGGGAGGGAGAGAGAGAGAGACAAAGAATGGGTCCCAGGAGCTAGCCCTGTCAATAACATGGTTTAAAAAGGAGCTGTCCATTTCAGCACCAGCGCTGGGCAGTTAAATGCCTTCACTAAACATGAACTGCAAGGCGTTCAGCCGCTGTCCTCTTCAAGACTAAGCTCAGCCAGAAAGAAATATCTATGTCCAACCCCGTGCTTGTCTGAGAACAGGAGAACTGTGAGGATTTCATGGCGTTGGGAGCAAGTCTGACCAAGAGTGAAGACGGCTGCGTTGTATCTGGCTTGATTTGCCGAGACTCTGAACAGGAGCTGTTCCACGGACTCTGCTCCTCACTGCTATCGATCTTTTGAAGCTCTCTCAGAAATAGCCATCACTTATGGAAACTGGGGATCAGAATTTTAGAAAAAAGGATTAACTTATCTATTTTTGGGGCTTTTCTTTGTTTTTTACTAAAAAAATTATAAATATATATATATATAAACATATATTGGATTGTAACTGGAATTGGTCCCGCCTTGCCCCCCTTCTTTTTGGTCTCTATTCCCCTTTTGTTTCATTTTCGAAAGGGGGGAATCTTTTCTCAACTACCTGACAGAGAAAAGGAGAGAGAGAGAGAGAGACAGAGAAAGTGTGTGTTGGGTCCGAATATAATGACGAAGAATGGGGCTGTTTGATCGCGGTGTGCAGATGCTGCTGACCACGGTGGGGGCTTTTGCAGCCTTCAGTCTAATGACCATTGCTGTAGGGACAGACTATTGGCTTTACTCCAGAGGGGTTTGCAAAAGCAAGACGGTCAGTGAAAATGAAACCAGCAAAAAGAACGAAGAAGTGATGACACACTCGGGATTATGGAGAACCTGCTGCCTCGAAGGTATTTCATCCTCCCTTCCTTCCTCTTCTCCTACACCATTTCTTCCCCATTCAGTCTATCCCTCCACCTCTGTCTCCCCATGTTTATTCTGTATGACTGATAGCTGAACATGGGATGAATAGCTAAGCGGTTGCTCTCAATGGTGCTGTTTGACGCACTCTGCTTCTCCCATTTACAGCATCCACATTCCTGTTAACATGGGTCTGCAGCGGGGTAACATGCTGAATACTATATATTTCCATCTCCCCACCCCTCCCCCTCACCCAACCCGAAAAATCAATACCACCAATAAATCAGGGGTATTTTAAGTAAACTAATTCGAGCGTGGCAATGGGAGATCATTGAACAAGGAATCAGCCTGATGATTTTTATGAAGCATTAATGTCTTTTTTTGTTTAATTTGAAAGGTGTTTTTGCAGCATTGTTTTATTTTCTTATTAAGCTTTTTTTTTATTTTGCAATTAGAAAGGAAACAGCCATTTTGGGTGTGTCAGAACTAATGCTTATCAAAGACAAAATGGGAACATTTTTTTTTATATATATGTATAGGCTAGGTCTGCAAACAAACAAAACCGAATGTTTCCAATCTCTGTCATTCCGAACGAAAAAAATCTTTAATCGAGGAGGGGGAGTGGACTAGGGAGTTAGAAGAGGATACATTGCCATGACAGCAAGGAATCTTGAAACCTGTGTGATTGCTGTAGATGAGAGCAATTTGGAATTAAAGAAATACTGAGGGACCATCACTGAAGCGGACATTGCAAGTGTTGGAAAGCTAGTGAACGATGTCAAATGGGGGATACATTTTTGCAAACATGCATTGTTCCAGGAAGGAATTGGGACTTCACATCCCTGTTACAGTTCAGTTAAAAAAAAATACACATGGGAAGATGAAACAAGATGATGTTGTGTGTATGCTGCCTTTTATTTATGAAGTCCGCCACCCCCCCCACCCCCAAAACTCCCCGGGACACAGGAGTTGCCATTTCATTTTGGGTACAAGTGGGAAACGTAAACGATATCTGTTCAGTGAATTGAGGTTTGACGAGGCGGCTGTACAACTCCAAGAGGCGCAATGTCATCAATTAGCTCTCGGATTACAGGGAGCTGGGTGGGTTCGATATGTCCTCGGAGCCAGGCTAGGAGCCTTTACTGCAATAAACACTGAGAGTTGGGGAAGAGGTAGGGGGGGTTAAGGGGGACATAACGACCCTCTGGTAGAAATCACCCCGTTATTAAACACAACTGAGTGAAATGTGCACTCACAGCCTCTTAATGCAACTGCCTACAAAAAAAAATTCTCTCTGACCCCCCCACCCTCCACAACACCCCGATTATTCTTCCACATAAAATTTCACACAGGATTCAACCTTAAACATGCAAGGCTAAAATACCATGACGTCACCACCCTTGTCATTTAAAAACCCAAATATGACTCATACCGATTGTAAACTCAAATAAAACTAGGATTTTTTTCCCCTTCTTGTTAAAAATCGTTCCTATTTCCGTCTATTTTAAATGTGTCAAAACTTCATCCAAACTTCTAATGTGGTTAGTTGCAGTGCTCACCAGAGATTTATTTATCCAGAGATTGTAACACAGATTGAACTCATATGGAAGCCTTTTATTTGGCCTGTGTAAGTTGCGTCTACGGCAAGGGATAGAATCGAACCTGCAGATTCACACTGGTCTCGGGCTTATTCTGCATTGGTGTAGATCCGTGCTCTGCGCTTGCTGTACCTGGATGTAAAATATCTGGCTCCAATGTTTCAGCAACCCTCACAGGCTGGTGAATGCTGGAGAGAAAGGGAAGGGGAGCAAGATATAGAAATAAAAAAAAGACTGAAACAGCTGGGAGTCAGATTTCAGAGGCTGGCACTTTGTTTCCCCACTATCTCCACACTGTGCCCTGCCCGGCATCAAACTGGACTCAACAGCCCTCAGGTGTTACAAAGGAGATCTTTGTGTGTGTGTGTGTGTGTGTGTGTGTGGGAGAGAGAGACAATTTTCTGCTGACTGGTGTCAGCAGTCAGGGGTTTCTGTGAATAATACCCAGGGCACATGAAATGCAACACCGCTATGTGCTCACAGGGTGCAAAATAAAAACACAGCCCCTTCCCCGCCATTCCTGTTTCACTTTTAACATCCATTAAAGTATCTGAGAGATTGCCAACCGATTTCACTCCTAACTAAAAGTAGACAGACCTATAGCGCTGGTTAACCTTGGGTAAATGTTTACTAGCATTTAGCTCTTTGCTTCAACTTGCAAACGAAAAATTATTTAAAAAAGTCAAATGAACGTTATTGGTCAATATCCTGTTAATAAATAGGTTCAAACAGGGCTATACTGTTCCTATGGAGTAGGTGGGATTTGAACCCATTCCCACAAGCAGAAGACACTATCACTAGACCACAAGACCCAACAATATAGGCCATCTGCTTCCATTTTCATCTGTAAAGTCTCGTGATAGCAATTCGTTGTAGTTTTTATATCAATGATATGGCACCTTGTTGAATATTATACATCAGCTATTTGTGGGAAGCTCTGTTTAACTTTACAGTGAGTCCACTGACCTGTGGTTTTAATGATGGGATAGAACCAATTATTGATGGGTTTTAATAAATTAGGTGTGTGTCAAATGTTGAGCTTGTGGCTTTTGGACAGGTGTGTTGTGTATTCAGGTACGTCTCTCCCTGACTCTATACTGGTTCAGGTTGAATGTTTCCAGGTGACTTGTAGCTTTCAACTGGTGTGCAGTTTTGGGGTGGGGGCTTTTGATGCTTTTAAAGATGGTTTGTGTCACAATGCAACAGAGAGCAGCTGAAGATTCACCAAGGTACTATGTCAGGTTGGGAATAAATAGCTACCATCATCTGCAGGGGTCAGGCTTATTTTTGTGAAAATGTTTGGTTCAATTGTTGGTCCCAATGCTGAAGTCACAGAATAGTTACTGTCAAAAAAAAGGAAGTAGTCACTGATGTTAAAGGGACACTTTTGAGGGTAGAACACATTAATTGATAGGGACAGCGTAGAAGCAGATTTACTCTATATTTAATCCTGTGCTGTACCTGTCCAGGGAGTATTTGACGGCGACTGCATAGAGACAGCTTTACTTTGTATCTAATCCCAAACTGATTTGTCCTGGGTGTGTTTGACAGTGACAGTGTAGAGGGAGCTTCACTTTGTATCTAATCCCATTCTGATTTGTCCTGGGAGTGTTTGATGAGGTAGTATAGAAGGTTTTACTCTATATCTAATCCTGTGCTGTACCTGTCCCAGGTCAGTTTGTTGGAGACAGTGTCTGCCCTGTGTGAAACCCATGCTATAATGGGCAGCCAAAATTCAGTACTGCAATATTAAGTTTCTTTACCTGATGAGCATGAAAACCACAATGATAATTGCAAGTACGTTCCAGGCAGTTATGATATGAACCATTGTGATTGGTCAGAATTCCTTCTTTTGAAGACTGGATGTTGATGGTGATTATCTTAGGTTTGTCGCTGAAAAGCTACAATGTGATGGCTGCTCCTGGTGGATAAGCGTAGAGATCCAATATCCTGGAAAAGATAAAACTGCAGGTCTGGTAAATAAATATTGCTTGCTAATAAATCATCTAATTAAATATACTGAAAAGGAGGTACATTTTTTTTCTGAATTTAACCAAAACTGAAATGCTTGATGTAGCGATATCCGTACACTTGGAAATATTGATCAGCCCTGTGTTGTTTGCTATGTATTTTGTCTTGACTGTTGTGGATCAGGCAGCCTGAAAAGAGACATCTTGTGTCAGAAACTCTCTAACAGTGGCTTTGAGTTCAGTCCCAGTGATACCATGAATGAGGAAGCTGTGGGATGTGTTTTAATGGAACTCTGCAACATTATTTCCAAGCGAAAGTTCCCTCTTTCCCTTTCCTTGAACCAACTAGAGAACATAACAACAAACAGTGACTAAGTACATTGGCACGGTCCTTTGAACGAGGAATCCAGGTGCCCAGGGCAATACACTTGTTTCACAGGTCACCATAGCAGCTGGCAGAATTTGAAGTTGAAAAACAAAATATAACATAGAAGTTAGCTTCAGTGATGGTGACCACAGAAACTGTCATTGATTGTCATAAAACCCCATCTGCTCACAAATGATCTCTAGGCAAGGAAATGTACCTGCTCTAGTCTCCATGTGACTCCAGACCCTCTGGTTGACTGCCCTCTGAAACGGCTGAGTGAATGACTTCATTGTACAAGGATGGGTAATAAATATTGGCTTGACAGCACCAACTCTCCATGAATAAATTGGAAAGCTCATGGCTAACTGATAGGATTCCAGCTTAGCTGGGAGACATTCATGACTCAACATGCTTACCATGAGTCTTTTCAATGCTTGAAAGAGCTTTAGACATTGCATTTTTGGTGAGTTTTTCTTTCACCCTGCGGTGTATTCTTTCATTTTTGTTTGGTTTATTTTCTCCATTTGGGTCTCCTTACCTTTTCCCTACTTTGTCTGGCTTTTGCCCCAGTCCAAGCTGCAGCAGGTACTGGTTGACCGTCCCCTATCCTTTCCCAAACCACAGTTATGCCCTTGGAAGGATTGGTCCGGCTTTCACTTAGCAGCTGGTCTTTATGACTGATCTAGCAGTAACGCCCCCTTGGTGCTCAGTAGAAGGTGTGGCCACTGTGGAGCCTGTTTGGTCAACAATGTTGGTTTGGACAAAAGTTTCACACTGGACGTGATCCCACCCCTCCCTGGAAGTGGTCAGAACGGGAGGCATTGGACGATTTCAGAGATACTCGTCCACGTTTTGTGACCTGACTGATTAGGTGCTGTATCCTTTAGTAGTCAATTGATGGCCACCTCCCCAACAGGTGAGAAAGGTGGCTAGTTTCCCCACTGGGAAGCTGGACTAACCTGCCAGCTTGCTTGGGGGAGGGGTTGGGTAGTGAAGGCAACCTCAATATAAGGGCCATAAGAGGCATGGATGATTTTCAGGCAGGGGGTTCTGCT